CCCCACTCCAGTCCCCACCTGCCCTCATTGGCCTCCAGACCCTCCACCTCGCTCATGGCCTCGCTGAGCTCCTCGCGCAGGCGCTGGATCTCCACCAGCAGCTCCTGCTTCCGCCGCCGGATGTTTTCCAGCTCCATCCGCTCCTCCGGGGTCAGGTCTGGGGGCTCTGGGGGGTCAGGGGTTGGAGGTCAGTTCTGGGGACAGGAAGCCCGTTTTCCGGCAATCTGGATTTTACAGGGCTGGGGGTGGGCATGACCCTTGGGTTCAGAGGGAGGAGGAAGGTGAGGGTCAGGCCTCTTATGTCTGCAGGAGAAGGGGCTGGGGGCCTGGACTCCTCGCTCCAGGGGAGGAGGGGAGTCCTGGGGGAGAAGGGGACCCGGGACTGAAGGAGGAGAAGGGGGCTGGAGGTCTGCATGGCTGGCTCATTTACTTGGAAAGGAGCTGAGGCCTTGGCTTCCTCCTTCCATTCTCAGCGATGTAGGCGGGGGGCTGGGTGCCCGGACTCCTGGGCCCGTGAAAAGTAAAACTATGGCCGGGGAAGCCGATGACAGCTCGTAAGAGTTGGGGCAGGGGGGCGGGGCATCAGAGGCCGCGGTGTCCGGTGGGATCGCCGGAGCCCCAAGATCTCTCCCTCACCCCTCGGCCCCCAGGAGCCCCCCTCCCTGCTCCCAGCAGGCACTGGGCTCGCCGGCCCGTCCGGGGGGAATGCTTCCGCCGCGGCCGCCCCTTCGCCCCCTCATCCCGCCCCCTCCCGCCGCCACCGGAAGCGGGATCGGCCCAAACAATGGCCTGGAACGCCCCGCTCTCGGGCCCCGCCGGAAGCCCATCCCGAGCCCCACAAAAAAACAAAAAACGAGGCGGCGGCGACGGTGCCGAGCAGCTCCGAGGGGCGCGCGCCGGAAGACGCGTTCGCGGCGGATCGCTGGGGGCGAGGGGGCTTCGTCCGCCCCCGGCCGGCCCCACCCCTCGCCGACCTACCGTAGACGCCGTCCTCCATGGCGGCTAGGAAGCCCCGCGGGGAGTCCGGGGCGGTCCCGCCGGTCGGGCCTGGTTCCGCGTCGGCCCGCGGGCTCGGGTGAGCCCGCTCAAACGCCCCGGGAGCCACCGCCGCCTCCTCAGCGCCAGTCCTCAGCGCTGAAAAGACTCTGCCTTCGCCTCCCAACCGCCCCGCCGGTAGGGACCGCCCCTCGTCTTGACACCGCCCAATCCGGGCCGGGCCCTCCCGTCCGCCCCGCCCTCGCCGCCGAGGGACCGTTCTCCTGGGCCAATCAGCGCGCAAGGAGCAGGCTGGCAGGGTCGGCCGGAGATAGACGGTCCCGCGGGCCAACCAGAGCGCGCGCCGAGGACACGGGGCGCCGCCTCTGAGACAAAAGAAGTCACTCGGATGGTTCGCCCGCCAATGAGGAGCCTCGGAAAGGAGCTGCTCGGAGGGGGTTGCTGGGGAGCAATGGGGGCTTCGCCCGCGCCCGGACTTCGCGCACCCCTTTGCGTTGCTGGGGGTCGGTGCTTCGGCAGTCCTGTTGCAGGGGGCGGGACCCCAGCTGTCGGTTCTCTGAGCCGCAGCTCCTAGCAACCAAGCTTCCTTTTGAAGACAGCTGTTGCCACGCAACCGGGAGCAGCTCCGGCTCACTTTTTTTTTTTTTTAATTTAAATTCTTTTTTTTTTTAATATTGATTTTTTTTTTTTTTTACAGAGAGGAAGGGAGAGGGATAGTGAGTTAGAAACATCAATGAGAGAGAAATAGCAATCAGCTGCCTTCTGCACACCTCGTACTGGAGATGTGCCTGCAACCCAGGTACATGCCCTTGACCAGAATCGAACCCGGGACCTTACAGTCCACAGGCAGACTGAGCCAGACAGGTTAGGGCTTTATTTTAAATTATTTATTGTTGAAAATATTATATATGTTCCCCCCCACACACTTGACCTCTCCCTGGCCACTCCCACCCCAGCACATGCCTTCACCCCTCTACTGTGTGTGTTCATTGGTTATGGGTATGTGCATGTATACAAGTCCTTTGGTTGACACCCCCCTACCTCCACCCCAGGCTCATCTTTCTTTTGGCCTCCTTTCTCCAGATCCTTTTACCCTCTCCCTTCCACCCCAGCCTCTTCAGAGTTAAGAAGTGGTGGGAAAAAGACGTACTCTGTCTTTTAAATGCTACACTATTTGGTCCGGTTAGCATGGCTCAGTGGTCGAGCGTTGACCTATGGACGCTCATGGTTCAATTCTGGTCAGGGCACATATCTGGGTTACTGGGGTGTGCAGGAGGCAGCCAATCAATGATTCTCTCATCATTGATGTGTTTTGTTTGTTTGTTTTTCTCTCTCTGAAATCAATAAAAAAAATATTTTAAAAAAATGTTACGCTGTTTGGTACCTGTCAAGGAGCATGGGACAGTAGGAAAAGGCCAAATATAGTGAAAGCACAGGCCCCGCCTTCCTGGAGCCATCGAGCTCAAGCTCCGCCCCCTCTCCCTAACGCTCCTCCCCTTATTGTAGCATCCTCCCCGGAGGACAGCTCCCCTTTCCTTTCCTCAGCACCCTGCCCCCTGCTCCGATTCCTCACCCACTTCTCAGGGTCCTCTTCCTTCTCTACAACTCGCCTCCCTTCAGGTGCTCCCCTCCCTCCTCTCAGAGTCCTCCTGCACCTGAGGCTCTAACCCCACCCCACTCTCACCCCCATGCCTGGCAGGCAAAGCGGGTGCTGGACCCTGAGCAGAAGGGAGGACCTGGGCACCCTGTCACCGGCAGGTCCCTAACGGGGTCTGAGGCAGTGACAGGGCGCTTGTCCTCATTCCCATGGGCTAGGCAGGGAGAGACAGATTCAGAGCTGGGATCTGGCTAAACGGACAGATTAGACATGGAGCTTCCTAATCTCACTGGCCTTTAGCAGAGGCCCGGGACCTGTCCTCTGGCCTGGAAACCCAGCCTGTGTGCCAGCCAGGACCCCACTCCAAGCAGAACCCTTCCCCTGTTCCTTCGCCTCACACTTAGCATTCTTCTCCACTCCTATTTCCATGGTCCCCGGCCCTCCCCCAGACGCCCTGAGCTGGGAGGGCAGCCAGCTAATTAATCCCGTCCGGTTATTACTCAGGGATTCTTGCGGATAAAGGGAGGTGGCGGTGGGGAAGCCAGAAGGGAGGCCCTGGGCTGGTGCAGCACCTGGGCAGGCTGGTGGGCAATGCCAGTGGCCGCCCTCAGTCCCGGGACCGGGTGGGACTCGGGGGTGGGGACGGATCCTTTTGCAGCTGGCTCCCTGCCTGCTGGGCCACTTAGGCAGATAGAAGCGTGGGCAGAGGCCAGGCCCCAGAAGCACACTCACAGGCACAGCACCAGGCTCCCAGTGGCTTCACCTGGGGGACGAGTCTCCCCCTAACCACATCCTGGCCCCTGGTATGCAGAGCTCCCTCCTGTCCGCCAAGCTGGACGAGGGAGGCGCTGGTTCTGGCCCTGAGCCACAGCCCCCCTGCACCAGCCCGCCCTGTCCTTCAGATGCTCAAATTCAGTGCTGGCCTCCCCGAGCGCTCCCATCCCTGGAAGGCCACGTGTCCCGGCACCAGGAAGAGCTGGGAAGTCTCTAGGACCCTCAGCCCCACGCCCCCCTCAGTGAAGTGAGGAATCATGGCCGGGAAAGGCCCTTGGAGAAGGTCAAGTTCCAATGCCCCGTTTTTTACAGACGAGGAAACCGAGGGAGGAAAGAGGAGTAGTGTGCCCAGCCACACAGTCCTTAAGCAGAGCTAGGATTCAGAACAAAGCTTCTGGGTCCTTAGAAAGGATTCCGTCCACTTCTAACCCTCTGTAAGAACCACCGGGGGGGGGGGGGGGGAAGGGAGGAAGCCGGTCTGGCTCAGTGGATAGAGCGTCGACCTGCGGACTCAAGGGTCTTGGGTTCGATTCCAGTCAAGGGCATGTACCTTGGTTGCGGGCACATCCCAGTAGGGGGTGTGTGCAGAAGGCAGCTGATCGATGTTTCTAACTCTCTATCCCTCTCCCTTCCTCTCTGTTAAAAAAAATCAGTAAAATATGTGTGTTTTTTTTTAAAAAGAACCATGGGGGGGGGGATAGATATCTGTATTTATATTATATATCATACACACATATGTAACGTCTTTAAGAAATAGATACACATCACTGGGTGTAGGATTCCAGAGCATCGTAGACTCACCAGCCACGGTCCCCTCCCTCCCCTTGCCCAGGAACCAGCCCTGTTTGTCCACGGGGCCTTGTCTGGGCCCTCACCTTCAGGCCAGCCCAGAATCGCTGTCTAGCAAGTCCCGAGTCCACCTGTGACAGGAGCCGACTGGCACGTCCAGGGTTTGGTCACGGGCAGCACCGGATCCCTGACGCCTCAGCTCCCTTTGGCATGACAGGACCACACAGGAGTCATCCGGAACCGCCAGTCCTTCCTTGACTCTGTGGTCGATCGAGAGCCGCGGAATCTTGATTCCTTTGGACATTCTAGAATGGCACTTTAATAAACACACCTGTGGGTCATTTAGAAGCATCGATTCTCCTCTGGCCTTGGCGTTCTACAGCCACTGGTCTGGAGCTACCTGCTATCAGGAACTCCCTCTATGTCACTTCAGTCTTTCTAGAGCAGTGGTCAGCAAACGGCGGCTCTTTGCCCCTTGAGTTTTTAGCAGAGGCCAGCTGAGCAGTACCCTAATTAAGTTCATAACAACGTACCTACCTAGATAGTTCAGGTTTAAAAAAAATGTGTTTCTCGAAAGAAATTTCAATCGTTGTAGTTGGTATTTGGCTCTGTGGACTAATGTGTTTGCTGACCACTGCTCTAGACCAACAGACTCTCCATTGTTTTGTGCATTCCAGAAGCACAGTTTCTTTAGATTCTGGAAGTACTTCTACTATCTAAGGTCGATCAGATGAACAGTCTCAAAACACGGGCTTTCTGGAATCACAGGTCTTTTCTGGGCTTGTAATTGACATTCCAGGTCAATCCAAATAGCCCTGGAATTTCGGAGCATTCCATACGTTTCCCTCCTCAGGTGGTCTAGAGAAAGATGACTTGCTGCTTGGTTGGCTGAGCCGAGCCGCATGGTCCCTTGCATAGCAGACCGACCCAGACCTGTAAACTCTCCCTCTCTCTCCCGCTGCTTTGAGACCTGCCGACTTCCTCCCCCAGAGGCAGTCTGTATGACTGATGCCTGACCCTGCTCAACAACCCAAGCCAGCCATGTAGAAGAATCTAGAACCACCAGCCCGTGCCTCCTGGGTGGGGTCCAGAATCCTGGATCCCTTAGCCCTGCCGAGACTGAGGAATCCAGCCAATAAAGGGGTCTCAGGAGGGAGCGCGCCACGCCCACTAGGCAGGCAGAACGTCACCGGCTAACGGTTTACCCAGCTGGCCTGCAGGTCCCAGCGGAGGGCCCCATCTCTCCATGTTGCTGCCCCTGGGAAGGGGCTACAAATGGGGGGGGAGGGGGCACCAGCCGGTATCACGGGGGCGGGGCCAGAGACGGGGTTGGTGTGAGTCCTCGGGGGCTGGCGGCCCCCTCTTCTGCCTCCGACTCCGCCCCGTCCTGGGTTTCCTCTTCCTCCTGGCAGCAGCTCAGCGCAAGCTCGTTCTCGTAGCAGAAAGCCGCCAGACAGTCGGGGAAGCCGGCCTTGGGGCCGCGGGAGTCCCGCTCTGCCCGCTGGTCCAGCTCCTTGGCGCTGCAGACGGGGGTCCCCGGGACCTCGTACGTGCGGTGGAAGTGGCGGTAGTCCACCTCGTACTGGGAGCCGCGCTGGAAGAGGACGGGCTCGAAACGGTGGCCCCAGAGCAGCTCCCCGGGGAGGTAGGAGGAGCGGCACTGCGTGGTCATGGCCGTGGCCTCCACCATGCCCTCCAGGATGACCACCAGCTCGAAGTCGGCCCGGGCCAGCTCGGCGCGCCCCAGCTCGTAGAGGGGGCTGGAGGCGTCGATCTCGTGCACGATGGTGATGGGGGACACCAGGAAGAGGCGGTCCGTGCCGCCGTCGAAGCCCACGTCCACGTCCTGGTGGTCCAGCGGGATGTACTCCCCTTCGGGGGTCACCCGAGGCTGCAGCGAGCGGCCAGGGGCCCGAGACAGGTGCAGGGAGGCGGAGGGAGACGGACATGGTGACAGGAAGCAGTGGGCATGCAGGAAAAGAGAGAGCAGAGACTCGTAGGGGTGAGGGTTGGGGGGGGAGAGTCAGAGAGAGGGGGATGAGGCCCAGGGGGAGGAAGGGCGGGCTCGGAGAAAGAGGGGACAGAGACCCAGAGAGACAGAGAGAGGGACAGAGACTCAGGGGGTTTGGGGATAGAAACCCGAGGAGGAGACAAGGGAGAGAGGAAGAGAGGGACAGAGGGACATGGACAGAGCCACAGAAATCAGCAAAGCAGAGATAAAGGTAAAGAAACAGAAGGAAAGAATGACATCCAAGCAGCAATTGGAGGAAAAGAAAAACGGCTTTCAGTGAACAGAGAAAGATAAACCAGGATGACAATCCAGGTCCAATATCCTGCATTCTCCACTGCTTCATCCCAGCTTATGGGCGCTCTGCACCCCAGGCCCTGCAGCCCCTGTGCACGTGTGTGATGGGGAGGAGGGTATGCAGTCCACAGGCCAGGCACTGGCAGTTTCACCCCACCTGCCCGCTGGTTCCATACCCACCTCCCAGGCCAGGCCAGTATCCCATAGGCTTCTGGGATAGACAATGAGTCCTAGTGTCTCAGTCCAGGAGAGAGAGATGGAGGGTGGGGCCCATTCTCTCCCACCTGTCTGTCTCCCGGAGACCCCAGTCGCTACTAGGAGCTGGAGCTCCCACCACCACCTTGTTCTCCCTCTCACCCAAGTACAAGCTCAGTCCAAGGTCACGTGACCACGTGGACAAGGGCAGCTAGCCTCAGAATGTGGGCAGTCTGGCCTCAGTTCTAGAAACACTAAAGCAAAAAGCGCCTTTCTGCAGAGAGTTGGAGGGAGCCACTACCCCAGGAGCCAATGAAAGTTGTTTTGTTTGTTGCTGAGAAGATAAAATTCAAGAGTGTCCCAACCCTGGCTCTGTACCCCTCCGAGCAGGAGGCTGGTGGGAGAGGCTGGGCCGCTGAGATGGGGAACAAAGTTTCCCACAAAGGCCGCAGGACCCCATGCCCAGAGGCCATGAACAGTTGTGTTCCACGGCTGCTTAGGTGAGAGCTGTACCCCATCCTGGGACCTGCATCTCCCACAATCCCACAGCAGCCAGGCCTCAAGTCATAAGCCACTGCGATTTACACCACCCGCAAAACTACAGGTCCTCACACCCCTCCGAGGCCCTTTCCCAGCCCCCAGAGGTGTCTGAGTTCAGAGCCCCTATGCCCCTCAAGGCTTAGATTCCCCACAATTCCATAGGGGGGCCCCTCACACCCCAGAAAGCTTTGTGTCTCAAAATCTGTCTCAATGTCGGCCTGCGGACTCAAGGGTCCCAGGTTCAATTCTGGTCAAGAGCATGTACCGTGGTTGTGGGCACATCCCCAGTAGGAGGTAAGCAGGACGAAGGTGATTGATGTTTCTCTCTCATCTATGTTTCTAACTATCCCTCTCCCTTCCTCTCTGTAAAATATCAATAAAATATATTAAAAAAAAAAATCTGTCTAAAGCCAAAACCGGTTTGGCTCAGTGGATAGAGCGTCAGCTTGCGGACTGAAGGGTCCCAGGTTCGATTCCGGTCAAGGGCATGTACCTTGGTTGGGGGCACATCCCCAGTGGGGGGTGTGCAAGAGGGAGCTGATTCTCATCAATGTTTCTAACTCTCTATCCCTCTCTCTTCCTCTCTGTAAAAAAAAAAATCAATAAAATATATATTTTTAAAAATCTGTCTCAAGTCTAGGATTTACATCTCCCACAACTGCTCCCGAACTCAAACTCCAGCCACAAGTAAAGCGAGAGGGTTCCTGTCCCAGAGACTGCTGGGAGTTGTAGTTCGCGCACCCTCCACGTCCAACACACGCCTCGCCCTCAGGCCTACATCTCCCACAATCCCCAGGGGCACCCCCTTCCCCCGCCTCCGGGTGGGGCCTGGGCCCCGCACCTGCAGCAGCTGGGCCCGCACGTGGGCCTCCACCAGGTGGCTGCGGCGCAGGTTGCCCACGCGCCACATGAGGCAGAGGCGGCGGTCGCGCAGCGCCACCACGGCGTTCTCGCTGAAGATGAGCGTCTCGTTGCGCTTCTTGGGCTTGGCCATCTTGGCCATGACGGCGCCCACGACGAAGGCGTCGAGCACGCAGCCGGCGATGCACTGCAGCACCACGGCGGCCACGGCGGCCGGGCACTCCTCCGTGACGCTGCGCACGCCGTAGCCGATGGACGTCTGCGTCTCCAGCGCCAGGAGGAAGGCGGCCAGGAAGCTGGCCACGTGCGAGAAGCAGGGCGCGGGCGGCGGCGGCGCGGCCAGGTCGCCGTGCAGCGAGGCGATGAGCCAGAAGGCCAGGCCGAAGAGCAGCCAGGACGCCAGGAAGGAGCAGGAGAAGAGCAGGCACATCCAGCGCCAGCGCACGTCCACGCACGTGGTGAACAGGTCGCTCAGGTAGCGCGCGCCCTGGCCGCCCAGGTGCACGAAGCGCACGTTGCAGTGGCCGTTCTTCTTGACGAAGCGCCCGCGGCGCCGCCCGGCGGCCGGGGCCTGGGCCGGGGCCCACCCGTTGCGGCACAGCCCCGGCCCGGCCTCCTCATCGCCCGCCCCGCCGTCCCCGGAAGCCAGGGCGCCGCTCAGGCGGCGCAGGGCCTCGGCCAGGCCCATGGGCGGGGACAGCCCCTCCGCTGGGGCTAGTGGGGGGCGGGCGCCCCGAACCTGCAGGGACAAGAGATGGGCAGAACCGTCAGAGGTGCCGGGAATGGGTGGGCATGCTCCCTGGGCCCTGGTGGCCTCGTATGGAAATTGGGTGGAAGGATGCTCACCTTGCCAAAACCGGTTTGGCTCAGAGCATGAGCCTGCGGATTGAAAGGTCCCGGGTTCGATTCCGGTCAAGGGCATACCTTGGTTGCCCTTGGGGAGTGTGCAGGAGGCAGCTGATCGATGTTTCTCTCTCACGGATGTTTCTAGCTCTCTATCCCTCTCTCTTCCACTGTAAAAATAAATAAATAAAAAAAATATATTTAAGAAAAAGAATGCTCACCTCGAAAGCCACAACAGTACAGCCTGAACAACTGTGACAGTAACACTTGTAATGACAGGAGGTACTTTTGTAACTATGGCTATCACACCACCACCACTGAGCCACAATGATGTGTCAGCCAGCATCTGCAGTGCCACACGCTGCTGCGAACTCGTTGCGTGAATTTTCTGATTTGAGCCTCACAACACCGTAGGCATTATTTCCCCAATTTACAGATGAGGAAACTGAGGCACGGAATGTTGAACGTGCCCAAGGTTACAGCTGATTAAACGGGCTTGAGTGCTAGCAGTCTAGCTCCAGAGCCCAAGCCCATAACCACGAAGGGGTCACTGGCTCTCAGCTGGAGGCTGAGGTCCCTGTGGTTCAAAAGGAAGCCCAGGCCCCGGCCGGGTGGCTCAGATGGTTGGAGCATCCTCCCATACTCCCAAAGGTCTCCGGTTTGATTCCCAGTCGGGGTACAAACCTAGGTTGCTGGTTCGATCCCGGGTGGGGGTGCATGTGGGAGGCAACTGATCTCTCCCTCTCACTCTCCCTTCCCCTCTCTTCCTCTCTTTCTCTCAAATCAATAAAAATATATCCTCAATCTGAAGCCAGTTTGGCTCAGTGGATATAGCGTCGGTCTGTGGACTGAAGGGTCCCAGGTTCGATTCCAGTCAGGAGCGTGTACCTTGGTTGCGGGCACATCCCCAGTAGGAGGTGTGCAGGAGGCAGCTGATTGATGTTTCTCTCTCATCGATGTTTCTAACTATCCCTCTCTCTTCCTCTCTGTGAAAAATCAAAAAATTAAAAATTAAAAAAAAGCATATGCTTTGTGAGTGTTTGTCCTTGAGTTCAAGTTCTAGCTCCACAAAAAAAAAAAAAAAAAAAAAAAATTATAGATATAAAACACCTCGGGTGAGGATTAAAGTAAAATAGCAGCCAATAGAGGCTGACGCAAAATTAAAAAACAAACAAACCAGCAACCAATAACAATAATAAAAAAAAAAAGTTCAGAAAGCGCAAGCAACAAAAGGAGAAAAATCAATAAATTGAACTTCAGCTGAAACTGGTTTGGCTCAGTGGATATAGCGTCGGTCTGTGGATTGAAAGGTCCCAGGTTCGATTCTGGTCAAGGGCATGTACATTGGTTGTGGGCACATCTCCAGTAGGGGGTGTGCAGGAGGCAGCTGGTCGATGTTTCTCTCTCATCGGTGTTTCTAGCTCTCTATCTCTCTCCCTTCCTCTCTGTAAAAAATCAATAAAATATATTAAAAAAAATTGAACTTCATCAAAGTAAATACTTTTCTGCTTCAAAGGACATTAACAAGGTGAAAGAGAACTCACTAATGGGGGAAAAGAGTTGCAAATCATATTATCTAAGAAATTTTTAAAAAAATATATTTTATTGATTTTAAAAAATATATATATTTTATTAATTTTGTACAGAGAGGAAAGGAGAGAGATAGAGAGTTAGAAACATGGATGAGAGTCATCAATCAGCTGCCTCTTGCACACCCCCTACTGGTGATATGCCTGCAACCGAATTACATGCCCTTGACCGGAATCGAACCCGGGACCCTTCAGTCCCCAAGCCGACGCTCTATCCATTGAGCCAAACCGGTTTCGGCAATCTAAGAAATTTGTATCCAAAAATACACAAACCAACCCAGCTCCCCCCGACTCTCAGACCTTGGGCAACTCTTTCTGAGCCTCAGTTTCCTCAGCTGTAAAATGGGGAAACTGACTTCTCTGTCAAGGTCAGGAATGGCTTCCAGTTATATATAGACCCAAGGCCCGATCCTGGCTCAGTTGCTGACCCACTACCTGCCCTGAGACAACTGACTTCCTTTTTCTGGAGTCCATTTTCTCATCAGTGGGGTGGGGACAAAAACCCACCACCTTGGAAGGAAGAAGGATCCAGAAGAAGGACCTTGGGCTTTTGAGTGAATCCGGCTCTGCCATTCACTAGCTGGAGGACTGGTGGTGAGTCACATCCCTTCCTGAGCCTCAGTTTCCTCATCTGTGAAATGGAGAGAATCTCATCAGCTGGACAGTGTGGAGAGGAGGGGGGAAGGGGCTGGTCGCGGACCTGCAGACCTCATCCCCCTCCAGCAGCTGCAGGTAACATCTGGCACGCTGGGGGCAGGGACCTACATGGACCAGGGATGAAATAGTTGGCCTATGCCGAAACCAGTTTGGCTCAGTGGCTAGAGTGTAGGCTTGCAGACTAAAGAGTCCCAGGTTCGATTCCGGTCAAGGGCATGTAGCTTAGTTGTGGGCACATCCCCAGTGGGGAGTGTGCAGGAGGCAGCTGGATCAATGTTTCTCTCTCATCGATGTTCCTAACTCTCTTCCCCTCTCTCTTCCTCTCTGTAAAAAAATCAATAAAATATATTAAAATAAAAAATAGTTGGCCTATTGGTTTTATCAACATGTACCAAGCACATGCATATGATATGCCCCCGGGATCCTGATGGGCTTCCGGCAGGACTGGGGGCCCTCAGCTTAAAGAGAGGGCTCTCAGTCAATGTCAAGTTCAATACCAAAGGGTCCTCCTTTCTTCCCCCAGGCCTCCAGCTCTGCACCTGCCTTCCATGCCCACCCGGACAGCCCCGCACCTGGGCTTCATTTCGCCCATTCCTCAGAGCGGAGGCTCAGGTGGGCGCACGGGGCCTGGCTGTGTCTGGCACCCAGGGTGTAACCCAACTCTGTTTTTGCCCATAATTACTCTGGCTGCGAAGAGATGGTTTGCCAAAAAGGGGAAACCGAGGCCAGTCCCGGAAGGCAGGTTTAAGGTGCGGATCTAGGCCCTGACCTGGACATGTGCAATCCTCTCCTGCCTGATGTCCCCACTCTGTGCCGTGTGCCACCGATGAGGGCCGAGGGGAGGCGAACTGGCTTCCCCCTGACGCAGCACCATCCCAGCCGGGGCCTCCTCACACCCTCACCTGTCTCTCACCACAACCCTGGGACGTCCCTTGTCACAGGCGACACCACTGGTCCCCCCTTGGTCCCTCAGCTGGAAAATGGCGAGCCCTGGACTCCCACCGGGGCCTTGGGTGCCCAGCCTGAGCCTGGGGCAGGGACCCCCATCCCGGCGGGTCCCGAGCGCCTGCCATTCCTGGGCAGCAGGATGAGCCCCTGGATGTCCCCGCCCAGCACTGGGCTCCACCAGACCCGCCGCTCAGCTCTTCAGGACGCCGGAGGCCAGGGTCACTGCTCCGGGCCACAGCGTGGGGAACAGGCCGAGGCCCGGCCAGACCCCTGCAGTGCGAAGGCGGGGGCCAGTGTGGGTTCTGCCCTTTCCAACCCGGGACTCTGCCTCCCAAGTAAACCGAGGCCCACACTCAGCCCGACAGGACCGTGTCCGTTTCCCAGAGCAGATGGGGCAGGGGCTTCCTCTCGGGGGGCCTGTCTGCACCCCACATGGCCCAGCTTCCATGGGTGGATGCTACTCGGACTCAGGGGGGCCCGCTGCCCCACAGGAGCAGGCTGGAGGGCAAGGCTCCAGAGCCTGAGTCGCCCCCCCCCCCCTCGACCTGCTGGGGAGCAGCTTAACGTTTCTATAAAGGAGACGGGGCTTAAGGTGCCTGCACTTCGGGTCTAAGTCACCGCCTAATCTGAGGCCCAGAAGCCCCGCCCCCAGGCCCAATCCCTCCCTCCTCCCCAAAGGAACACGTCCACCCCTCCGGAGCCCGGGTACCTCCCCTGCCCTCACCACGGAGGGGTCCTGGAAGCAGGCTGGGGGGCAGAGGCTGATGGGAGGGGTGTGGGGCAGAGCCTGGGCAAAGAAAGACAGGGTACAGAATCGGACATGAGCAGGGAGAGAGGGAGCCCGAGAAGAGCGATGTGGGGGTGGAGAGAACCAGAGGGAAGGGCACAGGGACAGAGGGAGACCCCCAGAGGGAGGGGGACAGAGACCAGAGGGAGGGACAGGGACCCAGAGGGAGGGGGACAGACAATGGGAGACGGATGGCGGACAGAGGCCCAGGGAGAGAGGAGAGCAACACGGGCAGAGGAGAAGCAATTGGGAAAGCCATGGAGGTGGTGTCTTAGGGAAGGGGAAGGGGAGACGGGAGGCAGAGACCAATGGAAGACAGAGATGGGACAGAAAGAGGTTCCACTGAGATGGAGGATGAGGGGGGGGGGCAGTGAAAAAAAGCACAAAATGTCCATGGGGAGGGGGGGTCAGTCGGAGGCACCGAATTTGAAGGGAGCGATTGTTCTGGGGCTGGACTGTCACTGAGGGTAAGACGGGACCTCTCCGAGGGGGGCAGCAGGATGGGGTGGGGATGCTGGAGATGCCACCCAAGCAAGGGGGCGGAGGTGGAGGAGGTGGGAGAGCCCGCAGCCCCGGGCCCCTGCCCAGGCTCCTGCACGGAGCACATACCTGGAGGGGCGGCCCACCCCCATGCCCTCCGCGGGGGCTCCTGTGTGGCTGCTGATGGCTGCCGTGTCCTCAGCCCCAGGGGCCCAACCTCTGTGTCCACAGGCGGATCAGAGGCCTGGCCGAGGGGGGGCAGGGGGTGGGGCCAGCTCAGAGCCGCAGAGGGGGAGCCAGGGAGGACAGCCAGGCAGGCGGCTGGGCTGCGGCCCAGGCAGGCTGGAGGCGGCAGACACACAGGAGGGGGCGGGGCCAGCCTGGGGCCAGGAGCCACGGGAAGACGGGGGCATGGAGGAGGGAACAAAAGGGGCGAGATGATGATAAAGGAGCTGGGGCTGAAGGAGAAACGGGGGCACCTGGTTCTCCCTGCGACAAAGCCTTAGGAAGCCGGGGTCACAGGTGCGATGCCCCCGGAGACGCAGAGTGAGCCCGATGGAGTGAGATGTGGGAGGAAGGCGGGAGGGACTGCGCCCAGTGGGCTGAAGGCTGGAGCAGGTGCCAGGTCCCTGCTCCTCCCCAGTTCTCTCAGCGAAGCGGCCGGGAGGACGAGTCTCACACATCAGGCCGTTCCCGTCCTTTATTGGCCTTAGGACCCCGCCCCCGACTTTCCTCCCTCCACACACCGGCCTCCAGCAGCCCCGCAGCCCCCACTGGGGAGTCCTGGCCAAACCCAGCGGCAGGAAGACAAGAGGCAGAGCCTAATTCTCCGGGGGCGGTGGGGGTGGTGAGGGGGGCCAGGACACACCCCTCAAACTCGGCCCAGTCATTGCAAAGCACGTGAGTTCCCTGAGGGCAAAGGGTACAGCCAAGTGCCTCAGCTGACAAAGTGTCCCGTTATTGGGCCCCCAGAGTCCCTGAGAGCGGGGGTGAGTCAGGGCTGAACCAGGTCTGGTGGGGGCGCTGGAGTCACACCCGGAGGTGGTCCGCGAGGCCCGGAAGGCGGGTGACGCTGCTTTGAGCGCCAGGATCACACCAAGCCCTTCGGTGGGAGGGCTCACCAGGCCAAACCAAGTCCCGTAGAGAAGAGTAAGCCCAGCAGAACGGTCATGGTGGCCAGCGGGCCGAGCAGAGTCCCTCTTCGGAGGCCCGGTGCGCAGACCTGCAGGAGTCCCTTCCAGGAAGCTCCCGAGGGGAGGGCCGGGCCGGGCCGGCGCCTCAGACGCTGATGGTGCGGAAGACGGTGAAGCCGGACAGCGCGGTGCTCACCAGCAGCCCGGGGCACTGCGGGTGCCAGTGCAGCTCCTTCAGGTCCGTCTCGCCCTGGTGCACGAACAGCAGCTGCTGGGGCAGGTCCGCCAGCCCGGGCTGGGCCTCCGCGTCGCCCGCCTCGGGGTCCCGCTCCACCGCCAGGTCCCACTGTGTGACCTGGTTGTCCGCGCCCGCGGCTGCGAAGACCCCGCTGTCCTGGGGGTGCCACTCGACGGAGGTCACGGGGGCCACGTGCTGCTTGAACGTGGCCACTGGGGAGCCGGACTGCGGGAAGACAGGAGTCAGGGGCTCCGAGCACCTCCGCCCCAGTCCTGGGGTGCCCCCGGCAGAGCCCAACCCTCTCCAGCCTCGGGGTTCAACCAGGGCTCCGCTCTGAGGCCCCATAACCCGATTCTCTGAAAGGGACAGAGGGAGGTACAGCTGGTAACAATGGCCTCATGTCCCAGGGGCCGCTGGGAACCTGGTTTCACCTGCGCAGAAGCCGGCCCCTGGAAGGGGTGTCCTCCCAGGGGCCCGATGGCCTTAAAGGGGCGGGAGCAGGGCTCCGGGCTGCAGGAGCAGCAGATGCAAAGAATTGAGAAGCCCCTTTTCCTACACACAGGGGCTCATTTGGAGACGTGTCTCCAGAGTTCCCATCAACTCGGCCGTGTGACCTGGCCACGCACCTGCCTGGGGGGCTGGAAGCCTTTTCTAGAACCTTCCCAGGGGAGCTTCTAGAGAACCAAGACCCCGGCAGGGAGAAAGACCAGGACACGGTGGTCCTGGGAAGGCGCCGAGCCCTGGGAAGTGAGGGCTTCGCCCGGGCAGATCGTGGATACAGCAACCTTCCTGCCCAGAAGCCTCAGCGCGACCAACAGGCAGCGTGGCTGGGCCACAGCGTCTCCCCGCTCCCGGCCTCTCTCTGCCTGCACCGCGCCTGCACGGAGGGGCTGGGCTCCGAAGCCTCGGCCTCTTCTCTCGTCAGCTCTCAGACTGGTAGAACGGCTTTTACGGCAGCCACAAGCCATCCTCCTGCTGAGCCCGCGTCCCATCTGTCGCCGGAAGGGGCTGGGCCAGGGAAAGGGCGCCCCCAGCTCTGGCGTCTTAGACCCCTTCGGAGGGCGAGCCCACAGACCCCAGTGGCTGCTGGGAACGGGAGCTCCGGCAGGTGCCTCGCTGGGAACACACCTTGAACTGCCGCAGGTCCCACACCCTGAGGGCCCCGTCGTCCCCGCCGCTGAGCAGGAAGGGCTCCCGGCGGCTCCAGTGGATGACGTTGACGTCCCCGTCGTGGGCGGCGGCCGTGGTGAGCATGCAGGCCTTGCTGGGGGCGGCCCGGATGTCCCAGATGCGGATGGAGGCGTCAGCGGAGCAGGAGCCGAAGACCTGGAAGAGGAGTCTGAGCGCCCGGGGTTCCCTGCACCCCGCCGAGACCAGGTGCCAGCAGTGGGCCCCTCCTCCTTTAAGATCCAGGAATCCAGCCCGGCCGGTGTGGCACAGTGGGGTGACTGCTGACCCGGGAACCAAGAGGTCACTGGTTCCATTTCCAGGCAGGGCACAGGCCTGGGCTGCCGGCTTGGTCCCAGGAGGGGGTGTGTAGGAGGCAGCCGATCAATGACTCTCCCTCTCTCTCTCTCTCCCTTCCTCTCTGAGATCAATAAAAATACATAATAATAATTTAAAAAGAAGACCCAGGAGTCCAGGCCCCGGCCTGCCTCACCGTGTCCTCGGTCGGGGACCACTGCAGGTCCTCCACGGAGCGCGTGTGGCCCACGAAGGGCCGCTGGTCCACGTGCCAGGAGCCGCCGTCCGTGGGCGTCCAGAGGTGGATGTTCTTCTGACAGTCACCGCTCAGCAGGCGCCCTGGGGCGTCGGAAAACCACCTGGTCCCAGCTGGCCCGGCGCAGCCCCCTCCCTGGAGTCAGCACCCTCCCCTGCCGCAGACCCAGCTCCCTCCGGCGCCCCAGGACCAGGCGCCCGCCCCCGGGGCTCACCGGGCACGCGGGGGGACCAGTCCAGCGCGAAGCCCTCGCCCATGTGGCCGGCGAAGGTGAAGATGGGCTTCACGCGAGCCTGCTCGTCCCGGAGGAAGGCGGCCAGGGCCTGGGGGTCGTCCACCACCTGCAGGAGCCGCCGCAGCGCAAACACCTCCACCTGGCCCTTCTCCGACCACACCCCCGCCACCGGCTCCTCGCCCAGCCAGGACACCTGCGGGGGGCGGACAGGAGGAGATGGGAGGGGCAGGAGGCTCAGGTTGGTGGCCACAGCTGCTAGCACCCCTGAGACTAGCACTGCAGTTCCCCAGACACCCCCACCCCCAGGGCTGGGACAACCACCCCCAGAATCCTTTGCAGGAGAGGACCACAGTCCACAAGCCCAGCTTGGTACCAGGGACAGCTCCCCACCCTGCAGCAGAGGTGGTGCTGGGAAAACTCCTTCAAGTCTCCCAGGAATCAAGGCTGTAATTCCCGGCAGCCCTCATCAGACTCGGGTCTCTGCAGCCCTCTCAGTGTGGGAGAGTCCCAGGCCTCAGGCTTTCCGCCTCGCCTCGACCTCCTTGAACTCCAGACTCAGATCACAAACCTCAGGACTGCGCAAACCTCACCAGATCAAAGCCAAGCTCCAAAGTGCCGACTGCAACCTACTCCTCCCCAAACGGCAGGACCTGTTTTTAGACTCGTCTCTTCCTCAACCCGACACCTATGCTGATCCCACTAAAAATGCACCACTTCGCCCTGGCTGGTGTGGCTCAATGGATAGAGCATCGGCTGGCGGACCAAAGGGTCCTGGGTTTGATTCTACTCAAGGGCATGTACCTTGGTTGCGGGCACATCCCCAGCAGGGGGTGTACAGGAGGCAGCTGATGGATGTTTTTCTCTCATCGATGTTTCTAACTCTCTATCCCTTTCCCTCTCTCTCTATAAAAAGTCAATAAGATATATGCCGAAACCGGTTTGGCTCAGTGGATAGAGCGTCAGTCTGCGGACCAAAAGGTCCTGGGTTCGATTCCGGTCAAGGGCATGTACACTGGTTGTGGGCACATCCCCAGTAGGGGGTGTGCAGGCGGCAGCTGGTTGATGATTCTCTCTCATCCATGTTTCTGACTCTCTATCCTCCCTTCCTCTCTGTACAAAATCAATAAAATATATTTTTAAAAAATCAATAAGATATATATTTTTAAAAATCAACGGAGAACTATCCTCAGGTGAGAACTGGAAAAATTCCCACCACCTCTATTGTTGTCGCTTACTGATGCCATCCCTCTCCTGAACTACAGCCCCCACAGGACTGTCTGCTGCCCTTGTCTTCCTGCAGTCTCTTCTGAACTCAGCAGGAAGAGGAGTGAACACACAAGTCAGATCCCGTCTTTCCTGTGCTCCAGACTCTCCCAGGCTCCCAACGTCTCCCCGAGTAAAAGCCAAGTCCTTACAACGGGCTCCAAGGCCCTAACCGACCTGTCTGTGTGGGCCCACCCCCGAGGTCTTGCCGCCATACCCCTTGCTCATTCGGCTCTAAACACACTGGTTCCCCCCAGCTTCTCTCAAAAACTCCTCCAACATGCCAAGTTCGCCCCACACCTGTACACGGTTTTCCTTGTCTGCACACCTTTTCCCACACACCCTTGGCTCGCTCCCTCACTTCCTGTGGGTCTCTGTATAAATGGCTCCTTATCAGTGAGCATGTCCCGGGCCACGCTATTTAAAATAGCAACCCGCCGAAACTGGTTTGGCTCAGTGGATAGAGCATCGGCCTGCGGACTGAAAGGTCCCAGGTTCGATTCCGGTCAAGGGCACGTACCTTGGTTGCGGGCACATCCCCAGTGTGGGGTGTGCAGGAGGCAGCTGATCGATATTTCTCTCTCATTGATGTTTCTAGCTCTCTTATCTCTCTTCCTCTCCGTAAAAAATCAATAAAATATATTAAAAAAAATAAATAAAATAGCAACCCGCACAGGAACACCCTAACCCCTTACCTGACTTTATTTTCCCTCTACAACACTTAGCACCTTGACACGGTACACATCTACTAATTTTGTTCTTGCCCCCTTCTCCAGCAGCATGTACGTCCCAAGACCTTTTGCTCCCTGTTAAATCCCTAGAGTCCAAGACAGTACCCAAAACAGGTTAACACTGATGGAAATGCACAGCCAGAACCACAGGCCAAGCACTGCTCTGAGTGCTGTTTGTCACCCCATTTAACTCGCATCAACCTGATCAAAAGATGCTATAACCCTAAACCACAAGAGTAACCTCACAGCTCTGAGCAGTTCCTGAAAAGTAACAGGAAACATAGACACTCACATTACAACTAGGTGCTGTTTCCAAGCATCTGAAATAACTGTATTTCAGTTACAGAAAGAGTTGTATGTTGTTCTATTTGATCCTTACACCAGGCAAGTTTTGCAACTCACACCATTTCACAGAACATAAAAAAAGCAAAACTCCTCACACAGCACCCAGTACCATTCAGAATGGCTAAGACATATGTAAACTAGCCCTGACCGGTTTGGCTCAGTGGATAGAGCGTCAGCTTGCGGACTGAAGGGTCCTAGGTTCGATTCTGGTCAAGGTTGCAGGCACATTCCCAGCAGGGTGTGTGCAGGAGGCAGCATTATGATGTTTCTCTCTTATCGATGTTCCTAACTCTATCCCTCTCCCTTCCTCTCTGTAAAAATCAATAAAATATGTTTTTTAAAAACAGACATATGTAAACTAACATGTAAAATTATGTACCTGACGCTTGCCCAAAAGCCGAAGGGCGTGAGGAGGTGCAGGTATAGATGCGAGAGTAGGGGTGCGCCCCAGAGTTGTAGAGCAGACTGCTTAGACCACATGTGTCAAACACAAGGCCCGCGGGCCAAATCCGTCCCGCCAGGCCTTGCAATGTGGCCCGCACCGCGCTGTCATCACTGCACTCCGCTGCGTTTCCATCACAATGACAGTTTATGACTGTTCAGTAAACCATTCGGCCCGCGATTTAGGCTGGATTTTAGATTTTGGCCCCTTCTCTGATTGAGTTCGACACCCCTAGCTTAGACTGTATTTACCCGGACTCGGTTGATGCCTCCGTAGTGGGGCACCATGGCCAGCTCCAGCTGAGGCTTCCGGTCTTCTTCATCCTCTTCCTCCTCCTCTTCCTCCTCCTCATCATCGCTGCCCTCTGAAGGCGGGGGCTTGGTCCCGTGCAGATTGTGCATCCGGAGCATCATTAATCTGGGGGAAAGTGGGATGTGACGAAGGCGCTGGGCGTCAGGATCCTTAGGGAGGAGGGAAGACGGAAACCCCAACTGACTCGGGGTCGGAGGGATGCAAAAGCGGGAAGCCCTACCTCCTGGTCCGGGGGAAGGGAAGCTGGAGGCTGACTCCTGGACTTCGGGGCAGAAGAGGCTGGGGAATCCGGACTCCTAGGAAAGCCTCAGGTCTCACTCACCTGTTGCTTTGGGCGCTCTCCGCCTGGGTCCCGGCACACAGGTAGAGTGTCAGAGGCAGCTCTGTGCGATTGTCCCCGAGGTGATCCCGGACGATGTCAAAGCTGAGGCAGGGGGCGCCTGGGGAGGGAAGGAGAGGTTGGAAAGTCACGATGGGACAGCGGGATCTCGGCGCCCTCCAGGGTGACGCCACCCCTCTCAGACTTCCCCCAGTCTTCCCTTTCAGAGCGCCCCTTCAGTTAAAGGCTCAGGACCTGGGCCCCTCAGGATCCAGGATTCCAGCTCCCTCCTTCCCCAGGGGCCAGGAGTCTGGGTGCCCCCCTACCTGTCTGCGCCCGGTGGTACAGCACGTAGGCCTCCTCGTCCATGACCAGCTCCTCTCCTTCGCGCAGCGGCGGCCCCCGGCCGGGCAGATAGACCTGGGCCGGGCCCTCGGACCCAGCCTCGCGGGACTCAGCCTCCATGGGCTCCTCGTTCTCACACGTGCGCCGCCGACCCTTGCGCGCCGCCATCCTCGAAGCCTCTGGCTGTCGGCGCGAGTTGATGATGTCACTTCCGGGTTGCGCTCTCTCGCTTTTTTTTCCTTCCCCCCCGCCCCCCTTCCACCTCCCTTGGCGAGCCACCAGGCGGCGCCGTTACCTTGGAAACTCTCCAGTTCACCAATTAGAGAGGGCGGTGGGGAGAGGGAGAAGGAGAACAAGGTAACGGCGTCCTGGTTTAGCCATGAAGTCCTGAGGTGGATACGCGGAGACCACCGGCGCCGCATACCTTGGAGGCGCTCTTCTGCGGAGCCGTTGCAAGGCCTCCTGGGAGTTGTAGTTCTCGGGGAAGCGTGTGTTGCGCATCTACTCCAGACTATAGCGTTCTGAGCCTCCTCCACCTTTGACTCCCCAAGAGCTTGCTTTCCGCTCCGATGATTATTCATGTATGCAAATAAGAGCTCTTGCCGACCAGGACCGCGGGTTTTTCTGTTCTCTGAAGACCCATCAAAGCGGTTTCTTCTCCCCTCCTTGTGATGATGGCCTTAATTTATTTCAAAAGGCTTCATGTAAACAGGATGATACTGGGCGTGAGTGAGTCGGTGGATTCTACCCTCTCGGGGGCAGTCAAGTGCCTAACCAGGACTTCATATGGCAGCTATGGTCGGCGAGCACTTAATCAGAAAGTCCATCCTCTGGAGGCAGCTGTTACAAGTGCTTCTCTTTATGGCCCATCAGCGGCAGAGGTCTGGCTAATTGGCATAATGAAATGTTAGAAATAGATTCTCCTTGGTGAGATTAACGGTATTCAAGATACCTCGGACTGGCTGGAATGCATTACACACTCTTCCGCGCTTGCATGAGCAGGATATTAAGAATCTTGCAAGCCTCGTTGTCCGTAGCCATTAGGAAATGGGACCCTAGACTTGATCCTAAAATGGTTTGATCCTGGATCTTGCCTGAGTTCTCTGTCCCCCATATCTCTAGGTCTCTGTCCAGCCCTGACTCTTCTGGGGTGGGGGTGGGGGTGGGGGGTGTCTTTTTTCACTTCCCCTTTCTGGACCTTTGTCTCCCACCTCCCTCCAGGGTCTCTGCTCTGTGGGACTTCTCTCAGTTTGTTTCCCTTCACAGGTGTGAGGGTGCTGGTGCTGGGGGAAGGGGGGGGAGGGGGAGACGACGACACAGACACGGAGCTCACACTTGGACGGAGGAGGCGTAAAAACATGGTTTATTCCAAACACTGCGATGTGGGACAGGAGGGAGGGAAGGAACGTGGGTGGTGAGTGGGGACTCCCAGACCCTCTCCTCCACCACCCAGCTCCAGGCCGGGCTGGAGGTCTGGGAGAGGGGGCCTTGGGGGGTCTGCTGGGTCATCACTGAAGGGTCCCAAAGAAGGGTTAGGTTTGGAGAGGGGGTGTTGGGTGGCATCTGGGGTAGGTAGTGAGGTGCGATGGATGGGAGGTTTTGGCCCCTGCAGGTTGGGATCTACGCTGTGGGGGGGAGGGGGTAAAGGCGGGGCTTCCGTTGGGGGTGTGTCCTAAGTCAAAATAGGGAAATGTGACCCGGGGTGGAAAAGGAGGTGGTGGGGGAGGGGTGTCCCGGTTTGACGTCAAGGGGCGGTCTGGTCGGGGCACAGTCTGGGGCTGGGGCACAGTTTAGGGTCCGAGGTCACAGTCTGGGGTCGGAGGATGACCATGTGTAGGGGTCGGAGTTTGTCACAGTCTGGGGTCAGGGGGTTTGTGTATGGCGGGGCCCAGGTCTAGGGTCACAGTTTGGCGAGCGCGTCTCACAGTTTTGAGTCCCCGTGGATGGAAGGTTAAAAACGGGCCTCCCCGGAGGCGGCGTGGCCGGGCCCGGGGAGCTGCACAGTGATGTGGGGGCCGCGGCCCCGGGCGTGGGGGCGGGGCGCGGGCGCGGCGCGACCCCCCCACCTCCCGCCCCATCTGGTGGTGACGTTAAAAAGCCCTTGTCGGGTTTTAAAAAATGTCCAGCGGGCTCCGAGACCTCCGCCCCGTGAGATTCCGGGGACCAAATCCCCATCCAGCGGGAGAGACTCCGGGGACCACATCCCCTCCGGTTCACGGTGCCCCGAGAAAACGAAAGGGGCACAGGACGCTGCTCCAGGCGGGGTCCGGCCGGTGCCACCTTTTCCTTCCCATCCCACGCGGGTCCCGTCCGCTGCGCGCGCCCCCCCGGGCCGTGGCCTGCGCTGACCGAGGGGGCGGGCGGGCCCCCGGGGCGGGCCGCGTCATACCTCGGACTCGAGGCTGGAGAAGTGCGCCGAGCCCCGGCGGGTGCCCAGGTCCCCGCCCCGGTGTCTCCGGTGGGGCGCGGCGGCGGGCGGCGGCCCCCAGTGCGCGGCGTGCAGGCAGCGGCGCGCGTGGCGGGAGGGCCCGGTGAGGCGGCGCGCGGGGGCGCGGGGGCACGAGCTGAGGTCCTCCAGGGAGCGCGAGGTGGGCGCGGGCGGCGGCAGGTCCCAGCCCCCCGCGGCGGCGCGCCGGTGCCGGTGGTGGTGCGGGGCCGGGGGCGCGGGCGCGCGGTGCGAGGCGCGCGGGCGGTGCGTGTGCGCGCGGGGGCACCCGCAGCGGGCCCGGCGGCGGGGCGGCGGCGGGGGCCCGGCGGCCCAGGGCGGGGGCGGCGGCGCCCACCAGCCGCCGTCCAGGCCGTCGTGCGAGCAGCTGTGGTGGCGCGGCGGCGGCAGCAGCTCCAGGCTGGCGCAGTGGCGGCAGTGCCAGGCGGCCGGGCCGCCGCGCGGGGGCAGGTAGTCCCAGCTGCCGGCGCGCCAGCCGCCCAGCTTGTCCACCGACCAGTAGCGGCCGGGCGGCGGCCCCAGGCGCTCGGCGTACGGGTAGGGGAAGTCGGCGTACCACCAGGGCTCCAGGCCGCCCAGCGACGCGCCGCCCAGGCTCTCCGAGTCCTCCGAGTCCGACGGCGACGGCTCCAGGTCCAGGTACGGGCAGGGCGGCGGCGCGGCGCGGCGCGGCGGGGGCGCGGCCTGGGCCCCGGCGCCCCCCGGGCCCCCCGCGGCCCCCGCGGCCCCCGCGCCCGGGCCCAGCAGCGGCTGGCTCTCGGGGTCGGAGCGCGGCCAGCGCGCGGGCGCCGGCGGGCTCTCGTCCTCGTAGGCCAGGCGGCACAGCGGCGGCCCCGCGGCGGCGGCGGGCGCGGGCGGCCCGGGCGGCGACGGGAAGCCGGGGTAGGCGCCGGCGGGGGGCTCGGCCGGCTCCTTGTCGCGCACGATGGCGAAGTAGGAGGGCGGCGGCTTCTGCGGCGGCGGCGCGGCCGGCGGGGACAGCGGGCGGCCCCCCGCGCCCCGCGCCGCCCCGCGCGCCTCGCCCGCGCCCAGGCCCTGCGGCTCGATGGGGCCGTAGTAGCGGTGGAAGCCGTCCGCCAGCCCCGCGGCCCCCGGCGGCCCCGCGGCCTTGGCGCGCCGCCAGCGGTCCACCGCCGCGCGCTCCCGGGGCAGGAAGGGCGCGGGGCCGGGCGCGGGGCGCGGCGCGGGGTACGCCGGGCTGGGCAGCGGCTGCGGCGGCGGCGGCGGCTTGGCGGGCGGCGGGGCGGCCTCGGCGCTGCAGCAGCTGTACATGCCCTGCGGGGGGGGGGTGTGTGTGGAGGGGGAGAGACGGGGTCAGCGCCACGGGCTGGAGACCCCTCTCTCCTCCCCTCCCTCCTCTCCCTCCTCCCCTCCCTCTTCTCCTGCACCCCTCCCTTCTCTCCCTCCACCCCTCCATCCTCTCCATCCTCTCCCTTCTCTTCCCCTCCCTCCTCTCCTGCACCCCCGCGGGTCCCTCCCACCCCTGGGCATCCCTGCCGGTTTGCACCTGTTGGTCCCCTGGCTTCCCCCCCCCCCCCCCCCAGGCCCCTGTACCCTGGAGAAGGCCAGCAGGAAGTCCATGCGCTGGGTGGGCCCCAGGCAGTGCCGCAGGCGCCAGTACACCAGGTGCTCCCAGGCGAAGACCAGCAGCGACAGGCCCATGGCCACCAGCAGCATGTAGAAGACGCCCGCCATGTTGTCGATGTCCAGCTTGCTGCTCATCACCTCGATCTTGTCGTTGTGGCAGATCCCGGAGAGCCACAGCCGCTCCAGCATCTCGATCTCATCTGGGGGACCAGGGGGGGTGCAGTGAGAGGTCACCTTTGCAGAGATCCCCTGAGGACCCGCCTCTGATATAGGAGTCTAGGCCTCCCGTGGCCTCATCCCTCCATCCTGGCGCCCTGGGCCTCATCCCCGCATTCCTGGGGACCCAGGGCCCCCCCCCCCCCTGCTCTCAGGCGTGCTCCCCCAGCCCCCCCTCCGCAGCCGCACCGTCCCCCAGGAACTGCAGGAGCGCCAAGTCGATGGGCCGCTTCCAGCGGGAGCCCTTGTGCAGGGCGATGCCGTAGCCCGTGGTGGCAAAGACCTTGCCGGAGCCGATGGTGACCAG